CAGTAGGAGTTTGAATTCAAAAACTCAGAGGCAAATAATAGATAATTCAGTTCATGCCAAATTTATTCTTAATGCTCTGTAACTAAGGTGTGTTCTAATAATCAGCAAATATCTATCCTTTTGGAAAGGAGTTATTTCAGAGAATCCATTTGAACTAGTGCATATTTCATGGGACTCTTCCAACAAACCCCTCACTTCCAAGTTTCTCTATCTGTGAAGTTCCTCATGGTTTGTACCATGAAACCAACTGAATTCTCCCAGGGGATTGCACAGGGGGATCTGTGTGGTTTAGTAGCACAAGATGCACCATCCTGCACTGATTTTTATAATCCAGTGTGTGAGTATTTTAGATTTAGCTCTGAAAGCCCCATATAATTTATTTTTGTGCAGGAAACATAAACAGTAGAAATTGGGCATTTCTTTCATGTATTTGGTCGTAGTGCTTATTCAGAACTAGTCGTATTACTGACTGCAGCTGTATCTGGGCATTTTCTTTAAACATGCTGGGAAGGTGGAGTTGTTTCTATAGAAAGCTAGTATGGCCAAGATATTCTTGCATTTTAATTCAACTGAAACAGCAACAGAACTCAAAAAGAAAAGGCTTATTAAAATAAAATATTAAAAATATTCTCCAAATGTGATGTGTCAAGTAAAAGTTGCGCTGATGGCGTAAAAATAAGATAGTTGCCTGTCAGATGCTTTGGTTGAATTGGCAGCTGCAAAACAAACTGCAGCTTGAGAGCCCCACCCACCTCTCCCAATTGCCTGTTCTTGGTGCCTCTTTTGAGGACGTTCATCAAAGAACTTTTTACTGTGTCTTACCAATCTTTGACTTGCACCTTGAGTGCATCTGCAGCTTGTCCAGGTTCCCTGGACTAAATCACCAGCAAGGCACTCACAATTGACTTCAGCAGCACGAGCCTTCCCTTCCATTCCCACTGGCCACAGCTGCAGACGTGCATCCTCTTCCCAGCAGAGAGGAGCTGTTCTCTGCCTCGCTCTCTTTGGGTCAGGACCAAATGAGAGACCCTTCAGAATTTTTGTATATGGGAAATAACTTGGATTCTGTCTGTCTGAAGTCTTATTATGGTTTGTAAAGGAATTAAGTAGGACTTAGGACACTTCTCCCAGACAGAACGGCCTTAGGACAGAAAAATGTCCTGTATTACTCTGGATATTAGTGCTGTTGCCAGATTTGAGAGGTTTCATTTTATTATTGGTAATGTGCCTATTTTGGGTGAAAGTGTACTGCTAATGGTGAGGTACCAGGCCCACACATAAGATATTTCTCTTCAGATATGGTTACAAAAATGGGAGTCATTCAGCAAGACATTTACAAAATATATCAAACTGCTTATATGGAAATGCTAATCAGATTTTGTATCCTGCAATACTCTGTACAGCTTGTGCAAAACATTATTGAAGGCCACTGTAAACAACACTGTTTTAGTTAAAAAGCTGTTTCGAAGATGAAAGATAGATTAAATGAGCTACAGCCTGTATGAGAAATTCCTCATGAGGAATTAATGGTAGAGCTTTTCATAATCTTTCATGCTTTGGCAAAAAATATTAGCACCATAAAAATTCTTCAGGGGGCAGAGTTGAGGTGGTAGCTGCAGAGTGATCAAAACATAAAAGAGGAACATTTTCCCTTTTTATGGAGAGGCCTCTTTCAAATCTGTCATAAGATGGATTTGAAATGAAAGTTTAATGTGCTCACAGTTTCTCAGACAGCCATCTTTCTACAGCTTCATTATTAATAACAATTTAATCTTAGCCAGCTCTTGCTTTTTTCTGAGCTCTTGATAATTCATTTATCTTAGTTGTTTAGCATCAATCTAAGAAAAAATACCCAGATCATAAAGTTGAGGAAGTGTTCCACGTTAATAACCCAACGTAAAACCAGTTTCCAGTAAATTTTGCAGAAGTGTTTAATCCAGGGTTGCTTGAATTAAAAAGTAACAAGTGTAAATAGCGTATAAATAGCAAGGAAACAATGTGACTGGGTTTCATATTTAACCTGTGTGCAATACTGTGTGAGCCAGAATTTTTCCTCACAGCCCTGTATGAGTAATGATGAGGCCGTTTTCCTGGCTGATGTATAAAATATTTTTCTGCTAATATTTATGGTGCAGAGACTGTTTTATGAGTGTGTCAGTAAAGCCTGAAAAGGTGGGAAGTTCTCCCCTGTGACTCAGTCCCTCCAGGTTTGTGTGGGAGCAGCTCTGCCTGTCCACTCAAATCCACAGAGTATTTTGGACAGGGAGAATTACAAGTCTTAAACTTCACCCATCAAGGGTCTTTACAGGGACAAGTGGTCCAGGGCCAGTCTTATGTATTTCCTTGAAATCAGCAATATGGGCTTCTTTCTCATGGGTTCAGAGCTGGTGGTAGCAGCTGCTTTGATCCTTCACCTTTCTACATCTTACATTTTGTCCAGAACCATAAAAAAAAATTCTTACAGTGTAGGAAGAAGGAAATGCAATAATATGAACTCTTGTAAATAAAATTGTTTACTTTTATACCCATTCTATTCAGTTTCTACCTTGTTTTCCTTTAAAAGCAGATTCAATACTATTTAAATTTTTTCTTGCAGAAATTGGGATACTAGTAATAAAGACTAAACTAATTTAAATTTTAAATTTACAGATTGCACATGTGTTTTCATATCCCTTGTTATGAAAAAGTTACTTTGAAAAAGTAGGTTGCTGAGTCCTTTGCCTCTGTAAGAGGTGTGACTGGTTTGGGGCAGGAATAATTCATAAATCCCATGTGACTGCAATTCAGATGTTTGTTAGTTATTAGATAATACATTAGTGTTGCATACCTCTGTTTCTGCATAAGGCGAGCCAGTGCAAGCTGACTTGAAATCACAGACAAACCTGAAAACTGGAGTTGGTGTGACTGATAAAGCCACACTTTGTTAATGAACCATTGCTCTTCCATTCATGAATAACAATGGTAAGGACATAGAAGAGACCCAAGTGTGATGGTATCCAAGCACTGTTTACAGAATTTATCAAAAACCCCAATGAAGTCATCTGCTATGAAAGATTTCAGCAATATTAAGCAAATTATATAGTTGGGTAGTCACCAGCAACCCCTCCTATGGGGGAAAAAAGACTTTGAATTTTAAACTGTAGACAAGGACACTGGCAGTGGCACTGTCCCTTCACACAGGATGTTCTGTCCTGAGTCCTTCTCTGCTGGATTGGCTTCGAGCCTGGAGAGCAGCTCAGTCTTCAGTAGGGTCCAAGGTAGAACTTTCTGTGTGCATGAAGATATTGGTCTGTCCAATTCCCTGGATTTCCTAGTGGCCATTTAATCCACATGTCTATATTTGCCTGCATCTTTGTCTGTAACTATGGAATTTTCACAATACAGGTTTTCTTTCAACAAGGAGGTGGTCAAAGAGGAGTAGTGAAGTGGTTGAGGTGGTTTCTGAAATGTGACAATAGTGTTGCACTTTGAATCACTTATTTATAGACAAGAACAGTGATCCTTGCAGGGTGGTTCTCTTGCTGTCTTTTTCTATCCTAACATGATGTCCCTTTACACTGACATTCTGTGATGTTTTTCTCCACACAGTCACGCTGGTGTTCACTGAGAGGCCTGCAGCAAAAGCACAAAGACTGCTTCTATTGATTAATTAAGTTAATTCAGATGTCTGGAATATGTACAAACAATTTAACTTTCTTCTCTAATGTGCATTACTTTGGAATTAATGGCATAAATTTAATTTCCCATCATTTAGGCCATGCATGTAGACTTCTTAAGTTTTTCCCAGTAACATAAATAGTTGTGTGTAGTTTTGAGAGCATTTTAACTGAATATCACAGTTGCTGGGACATGGCACAGAAGAAACTGTCTCTGGAATAACTGGGTCCTTGACCCTGAATTTTTGTAGGTTCAAAGCTTGTACCTTGAATTTACATTTTAAAAAGTAAATTACCAAGCAATATACAACCAAGGGTATTAGTAGATTTTGTTGTCTGTTTTAAAGTCTGTATTTAAAAGCAAACTCTTTCATAATAAAATGGAAGATCCATGAGTTTAGAGAAAGGGTTGTGTCCTTCCAGTGTGCTTAAACAATGTCTGATGTGGTTTCAGCCTCAAGCTATTACTATATTTTTAAATAATATATAACCAGTATTGCATACAATTATGCACATATATGTGCAGGAGTTTCTGACCTTAAGGACTTAGTCACATAAACAGACAAAGGAAGTAGGAACCAGAAGGAACAGAGGGACCTGAGTCACTAAAGCAGTGACTTGCCCATGATAACGAAGGGAATGCAGTGCCCAGCTGGATATTGGATCCATATTTTATCCTTCTCTGATAAGTATCTGATTTGCAAGTCACTTTTTCTTATGCAAGAGAGCTCATCATTCCAAACTGTGCTGCAGATCAGGGCCCTGCAGATGTTCTGGCAAAAAAATCCTGTTCTGAAAGGGAAATGGAGGCACTGGCCAAACACCTCCATGAAGAATAACTGGAATATTTTAGCAACTCAGGATACTCCTGTGTCCCTAAATTGTTTGGTGCTTCTACACTGTGTAATGTACTGATTTCCTGTATCTGACTCAGTGTTTTGTTCTGCCTAAATCACAAAATAATCGATTCAATGGGAAGAAAGTGGAGGAGAACCACTTCCTTGGCATCCATGTGAGTTCAGCGTGTGCCGCTGCCTCACTGAGTCACATGACCACCTGTGACCAGAGAAACTGTTGGAAAAGTTTTCCAAACTTTGATTCTTCTTTCTTTTCCTGCAGCATAAATATACAAAGTGTTCAGACAAAGCTTTCTAAGATTGGTTTGTGTTTGGGGGTTTCTTTTCCCACAACTACTAATCCAGTTGTTCTTTCCAACAGCTTCGTCCCTTGGCCTTGGAGAATCCCTGTCAGTGCCCTCTGCTCCTCTGGGGATTTGGTTGGGCCCCAGCCTGTGAAGGTGATGTCCTCTGACCCCAGTCCTTGTGTTTGTGTCCATCCCTGCAGCCCTGCGGAGCCGCTCGGGACGGTCCATCATCAATGGGAACTGGGCGATCGATCGGCCCGGCAGATACGAAGGTGGTGGGACAATGTTCACCTACAGGCGCCCAAACGAGATCTCCAGCACTGCAGGGGAGTCCTTTCTAGCAGATGGCCCAACAAATGAAGTCCTTGATGTCTATGTGAGTTAGTGTTTAGATTAATCTTCCTGATGGGAAAACAAAATGTTCGGTTCATTGTTAACATGCAACACTAAAATTACATTCAGTACCAATACTTTGTTACTTTAAGTTTGAAACATTACTTTTGTTATTTTAGACTTGTTTGCCGTTGTTTCCATTTTGCTCCAGGTCATAGGAAATCTAAATCAAGCCTTTTTCCCTCAGAGTTTACTGATCCAGGAAACCCAATTTTACTTGTTCAGTAAAACAGATAAAACATACAAATGTCTGGGGCTTTTTTTTTTTTTTTTTTTTTTGTGAACTGGATTTTCTCTGGATACTTTTCTGTTGAAGCAAAATTGTTTAATTGGAGCAAATAGTTTAATTTTATGGTGAACAAGCAAATACCTAAGCCAGACAAGGCCTCTCACAGAGGGGTAACCTCTCAGTTTCCTTTAAAAGAAACAATGCAGAAAACCTATAGAATGTAGAATTTGAAGCAGGGCAGATTTAATATGAAGCTCTGCTAGGAGACTATAGATAATAGCTATTTGAGAAAGGAAGAGAAAAGACAAATTGTGTCCAAGAGGGAGAAATCATATTGAAAAAGCTTTGTGCTTCTGATGGGACAGGTTTTTAGTTCATCATACTGAAGTAAAAAATATAACTGGAATTGATTACAACTTATTCAAAGATAAATGGTGTGTTCTTAGATCATACGCTCCCACATAGTAAATCAATTTATTGAAAAAAACTAGTTCAACTGATTATATGATTGTTTCATCCAGCTATGGCTTTTTTGTCCTTGAGTGCAATATGGGTGGAAAATTGAGTGTGCTGGGTCATTTCATAAAAGAATTAATAGTAACTGCCCTGAGTACTAAGCTGGGAAAAGTTAAATGTTGGCAAAGTTATTCCTCATCTGCTATATGGTGCCTTAATAAAGTGGTGTCATAATTATGCTAAAGTTAGAATCATTAAGGTTGGAAAAGACCTCTAAGATCATCTAGTCCAACTGATCCAAACTTCTTTTCCCATTGGTGGCAACATACAACTGGCAAAAGCCTGGAAAAATAAGTGATTGGGCTAGTTCTGGAATGCAGACTCTATGTTTTTAAAATCCATGTGTCATTGTGCAGTTACAGGGTTTGTGAGCTGAGGCTTGGCTGTAAGTTTTTATTGTCAGCTGATTGATGCCTAATATGTAATGACCCAGAGAGAAAAGGGGCAGGAAATGGATTAAACAGATATTTCCACAGTAATACCATAAAAAAGCCTGAAGTTTAAATTTATGATTGTAATGTTTTAGTTTAGGGTTAGTCTCTGTCTTTTTGTTTGTTTTTTTGCTTTTGCAGTGACTCTTAGAAGCTGACATGATGGGCACAGCTTTATCAGTTTGCTCTGTTGCTATGGATTGCCACATCTAATTTGGCTGGACTCTTATCTGGGATGTTTCTTGTTCATATGAGGAATACTACAATTCATTATAAGATGATAGTTCACTGTCTTTTTTAATGTAGTGTGGGAAGATAAAGCTGGATAGTGGTAGATGAAAGAAAATCAATCATCAGCGTGACACAGCCTCTCTTATGGGTTTGAAATGTGTAGCCATGCAGATACAGATGTCTTTCTTCAGACTTTGTCTTGCCTGAATCATGCAATTCTCTTTTCATCCATACTCATGATCTTTATGCTCTGTGTAGCAGAATGAAGAGATTTGCAGATGGGAACCCCAAATGGCTTTCTGTTCTGTTTGCCTGAGATCATGCTGTCTGTGTTGCACTCTGAAAATGGAGAGGAAAAAGCTTTCTGATTTACACGAGGTTATAATGGCAAGATAAAGAGATGCAAGTTCTGTCCAGGTGTGAAGTAAACATTGCTACAAAGACTTAGGTCCACTAACTCAGAGCAAACTATTCTATCACTGCAGGAAAGCTGGGACAATATACTAATTAGGGACTTCAGCAGTTAAACTCTTTATAACATGTCTGTCAGTTGTTTTGAGAAATGTGGTGGTAAAACCGTATGAACAACTGGAAAGTTGCTCCTGGAACCATCTAAAGAGCAGGGTCCTGGTTCTGGAAGGGGCAACGTACTCTTCTGCTGAAGTCAGCTCACAGTTCTTGGTTCTCTCAGGACCAAACACAAAGAGGGTGTATTTTTTGGATAACAAAGTGACATTGGAAGGACCAACCCTTACAAAAAAATACTACAGGCAGTACATTATTAGATGGTTCAGAAAAGTGAATGATCTCTGAGGGACAGGTTTTAGAGGAACAGCTATTATACTTGGCAAGGAAAAAGTGATTCTGACACAAGGAAAAACAAAGGTCTGAATCCCTGGTTGGTATTAATTGATGTGACGAACTTAGTGAAGCCTTGAAGCATTGATTGTGCTCTGCTGGGTCATTAGGCCATTAGCATAGCATGACTTTTTTAGGTCCATGGATTATCAGAACCAAGGAGCTAGTGCAAGCTCTGCTGTTTGCTTGGAGTTTTTGGGATTTGTTTGTTTGTTTGTTTTTTAAAAAAGGTACTTGGAGTGTAATCTGAGGCTTCTACCAGACTAATCCCCACTGAGAGTTCAGGACTAAAGCATAAGTGTCATTAGAAGCAGTACTGAAGTAATCAAAGCAAAACCAGTAAAATTAGCAGTTTATGATACCCCTGCATTCCTATTGTGAGAATGCTCAGGCTCACAGCAACAACATGATAGAAGCCAGTTGGGTATGGAGTATGCTGCTAACAGCTTTTTAAAACTTTGTTAAAGTCAAAGCTTGCTCAGGTCCCATTCTGCCTCTCTGTTTAAACAGGCATCCCAAAGTAACAGCGACTGTCAGAGCCTGCCTGGTGTCAGCTCACGTGGGCCTGTGTGTCAGTGCTCTGAACACACTCAGCTTCACTTTCACATTTACCCGATAGTTCCTGCCTGTGTTTCATAATGAGCACTTTGATAGAGTTGTGGCTTGCTGTAAAGCAGTGGGAGTCTGGCTGCACTTAGATTACACCTTCGTTCAGCTGCAAACGAGCATGGAAGGATGCAGGAGGGTTGCACAGGCACTCTTCAGCTGCTGTAACAGGAACGTGGCCTTTGGAATGTGTTCCCTCCACCTTTGAGGAGCAGGGCTCATGGCCAGGGCAGCACAACCTCAGCAGTTTTAGCTGGGTGGTTGCTGAGGCTCCAGGGAGTGGTGCCGAGTATCTGCACAGCGTGGGAAGGAACTCTTGGATTTGGGAGATGCACACACAGAATCACACGGGTGTGCTGTGTACATGTGCTCTGTTCAAGTTCCACAGGTGAACCTTTAAAAGGTGGAAGGCTAAATGCGTCCATTGGGGGTTGTGGTATTTGTTTTTCTCTGCTTTGTTCCTTCCATGCTTCCGTTTCCTCAGGCATCTGTCAAGCTCTTGCTCTCTGAGAATGTTTTGTTGACCTCAGGACCATCTCTTCTGCTGCTGAGGCCTGGTATGAGCCTCTGCTGCTCACACTGCTGAGGCACAGCCATGGCTGGTGCAGCCACAGCCCACCTTGGCCCCAAGCATGGCATTTTACAAAGAAGATTTAGACAAATAGTTTCTGTGCCATCGTAAGCTGGCTCAGTTTGCAAACACAGTAACTTGTATTTTCTTCCTTGCGAGTAGTAGCATGTATTTTCTTCTTTACAAACGCAGTGACTTGTGTTTCCTTCTTTTTGTATTTTTTGGAGACAGTCATTAGCCATTGCTTCTATCATGACCAATGAAAAAGGGTGTTATGTAGCTGAGCAGTTCAAGTTGATATTTAAGTAGTAGTAACAAATGGAAGGACTCAATATATGGCTGTTTTTCTTTTTAGATGATACATCAGCAGCCTAACCCAGGTATCCATTACGAGTATATCATTCCAGGAGACAATGTCATTAGTCCTCAGCTGCTTGCTCACAGGAGGCCAGGTAAAATGCCACTATTTCCTATTATTTAACACATTTTGTTACCAAATAAACTAATGGAGAAATTCATACCATTAAATTCAGTGTAAATGCTGCCATTGATGTGGGAGGGGCCCAGAATGTCACCCTACATGTTGAATGAGATGTCAGCATAGATTTAGTAACTTCAGTGAATTAATACAGGCAAGCATTATTTATACTTTAGCAGGGAATCTGCTCACAGATTCCTGCTTTCAGTAACATAATAATAATGGCCAGTCTTCGCGAACGAAGATTTTGGGGAAAGGTCTTTTACCTTTCCAGCCTGCGCAATGGATTTTTTAGGTGAGACACAGCCTGCGCTGAACTGAGCCCACCCTTTAATCCTAAGGTTCAACTGCCGGGGCCAAGCAAGCTTGGACAATGGCAGTGAGGTCCTCAGGACGTAGGTTTGTTTAGAGTGACCTTCTCATAGATGGATGGCCTCACAGGGCTAACGAGCTACCATCTGCCCGGGGGACTTGGGATTCGAACCCGTGGTCGCAGCAGTGAGAGTCCTGCATGCTAACCACTAGGCCACCAGGGGTCCCTTTCAGTAACAGTTCTGTTATTAAAATGTTAACCATGGGTTTGCATGAGCTGGAGTGTTGTAACCTTCTCTCAGAAATGAAATAAAACATGATTTTTCTTTTCAGAGTTTGAGATAATTTGAAACAACCCTTCACAGTTTCTTTTTCCTCTCCCAACTGGAGAGGATCAAACAGAGCAGTGTTTCCATCCCAAGGCAGACTCTGGGCAGCCTGTGCTCCTGACTGAGCTGTGGATGTGTGCTGTGTGTACTCTAGGAAGTCCTGAAGGACAGTAGAACATTTGCAAGTGAATTTGGTCCTCATTTTAATGGTCGTGACTTGCCTTGACAAATTTCTGTTTGCAGCATGTTTGTAATGAGGAGCAGCTGTGCTGGGCCATGGGGAGCCACAGGATGCAGAGCATGGTACAAAACAGAAAAGCTTTGGAAGATTTTGACACACTGGGTCACACTCTACAGTGTGTTTGGAGAGTCTTAATGTGTTTGCTGCTGGCTGAGACTTGATTATCTCAGTTTAAAACAACACAGTCTTTGCAGGTCACTATTAGGAATTCTCTACATAGCAGATTAAAGCTGCTTCCAAATGTAATGAAACTCCAGTTCTGATTATTAGTGGATCAAAGCATAGACTGATGTTTGCATGTGAGGCTCATTCTCATTATTTTACTTTTCTGTTGTGTGTCCATCATCAGGGGAGCCGTTGAATGGTCAGTTGGGAATGCCAGAAGGTACAAGCCATGAGGATGAGGATTTGCACAGAGAGACAGACATTCTCACTGGACAGTCAGCTGGAACTTTTCCAGTTATTCAGCCAGGAAGATTTCCTTCTCATCAGCCAGAAAACCAGGTGCCTGCTATGCAACAGCCAAGGCAAAACCGAGAACACAACTGGAAACAGGTTGGAAAAACTGAGTGCACTACTACCTGTGGGAAAGGTGAGTGCTTTGGACACCCTGCACAGAAAAGAGATGGCTCGTGGGAGGGTTCCAGCATTTCAAAGGCAAAATGATAAATATGAAATCTGCAAAGGAAAGCATTCCGGGAAAGGGAGGAAAGCATTCCAGGAAGTTTATGGGAAGAAGTGTAGGCTGTGTATCTGCTTGTCTGGTTGAATAGCATTCCACTTGTGTTTATTTCAGTCTGTGCAGGAAAGTTAGGTCTAACCTAAGCAAAATCTTTCATTTTCAGTTCAAAGTTAATTTTCCTGTTTGTGGTTTCTTTCTCAGCCTAATCCTGAGTTTCTGCACTAATCAGGCTCCAATACCAATAAATAATTAGTCATTCAGAGTTATTTGCTGTAGAATAGCCCAAAACAACTAAAATCACCCAGTGGGTCTGGCTTCAAGTGGTTGAACTGGCAGTTGTTGGTTGTACCTTGACCACTTCTCCTTGGCTGAGTTAATGTACTTTAACTTTTTGTTTACCCAATACAAGCTCACATGTTGGCTCTTTGTAGTAATAGTAGAGTTCTGTCTTTCTGCTCTGGCATGAAAGTTACTTGAAGACTGAGCATTAAATATGAAGAATAGTCATTTTTGGTGATGTTTAACCTGTAAGCTTTGCCTGATGGATCTTTGCAAAATCCAGGTGAAGTGGATGATGTTCTCCTGTATTTACTCTCCACGTAACTGAAGTCAGGAGGCTCAGTCTCTTTCCAGAAGCACGACAGAATAACTGCTAATTTTTTCCTCCTGCCAAGCCTTTATTGTGGCCACTTGGCTGCATGTTTTTTGAATTGCCTAAATACTTAATGTTTGTACTCTCTGCACTTTAAAGATCTCCTGCAGACCCAGGAACATGTTTTCTCAGCCTTTCCTACAGTGCCATGCTGTACTTTCTGTATACTGAATACTTCCCATGGTATTACAGTGTAAACAGTACAGCATTCAGCTCTTACATTTGGAAATTTGGGACAAAGTCTGTGTTTCCTGTTGTCAAGTTATGCTTTTCCTTTCTACATCAGTGTTGGATGCTACTGTTAGAACTGTGGAGTCTTTTGCAATCCTTCACCTGATTTCCTTCTCCATTTCAGGATCACAGTACCCAATTTTCCACTGTGTCAACAGAATCACTCACGAGGAGGTTCCCGAGGGTTACTGTGACAGCAGTACCAAGCCCATCCCAGAAGAGGAGGCCTGCAACCTCTTCCCATGTCCAGCTTTGTAAGATATTACAATTGATGTCAAGTAATAAGGCAATGCCATTGAGGTTTTGCCTGTGAAAGAGGCTGTTCTGAGCAGGAAACTAGTTTGATCTTCTAAGTACTGTGCACTTGTGTCATAAAGTGTAGTGGATTTTTTTCCTTAGTTGTTATTGGCCTTCTCCCCCTTCACAGGGAGCCTTCTTCCCCTTCACAGGGAGAATAGTGTTCGGAGTAGACAGGAGGGAAGTTGGCAAAATCAAGTGTAGCAGTTCCTCAGAATGTGTGTGATTGTTCAGGCAGACACAGGCTACATGGTCTCTGTGGGTACATCTTTTTTCAAGTGAGAGGTTTCTGCACATACCTGTCTAAAGAAGAGGCTCTGTGGGTTCTATCACTCCACATTAGATCCAGGTGCTGCAGTGGCCACCTTTTCATTCCATGGTGGCAGATTTAAAGATGAGATAGTGCTCACAGCAGCTCCCTGGTAAATACCCCTCTCTTTGAATTGGGTAGTTCTTCAGCTCCAAGACTGGATTCTGAAGTGGTGGCCCTTGTTTCCAGCACACTAATCCAGGTCAGCTGTGATTTCCTTCTGAAATGACACTGTGCATTGCAATTACCTAAGCAACAGGTTTGAAAGACTCAAAAATGAAAAATGAACATATAACCCCCCACCCAAAAGGACAATTCATTCAGGGAGCACACCAAGAAAAGGGTTAAACCCATTTGCCATTATAGCAACGTTGTTTTGGGTCAATTTTCCATCTCTCTGGTGGTTACACTCCTCAGTTCTCTTCTGAGCAGCAGAATCTCCTTATCCCACAGAGATTTCCAATGGTGTAAGTGCTGTTACAGTGTCAGAGATGTCTGAAAGCAGTTTCCTGGTGTGTATTAGATACTCAGGAGTTTCTGAAGCCATTTACATGGAGATGTCTTCTCCTACCAAAAGCATTTTCCTCGCCTTTTTCCTTCTAACAACTCATTCATTCAGGATAATATCAAGAATATAAACAAAGAAATTTAAATATTTAAATACAAATATTTTGCTTGTTCTCCACAAGAGTTCTGAAATAAAATACGTGAACAGTTCAGATACTTCCTTTATTTGTGTCTGTCTTCATGCTTGAAATGAAAACCGAAAGGGGAAAATGACATGTTTGTACAAAGGTGACAAAATAAATACAATGAAATCTTAGAATGAGAAGAATATATCCAGGGATTTTTTTCATCTCTAAAATGAATTATATTTATTCATTGCTTATCATTTGCTATTTCAGTTTTACTGATGAATGAATGCCTGGATGCATTATGTGATTTTTGTGTTACTGCCATTTTTTAGAGTCTATGCTGCAGAAAACCTTATGCAGTACATCTTAAACTTTTGGGAAGTGTCATTCGAGCAGTAATATATGTTGTAGGTAGAATCTTTAAAAAACCAAACAGCTATTAGAGGCTTAAGTAATGTTTGTAATATGTCTTGAGACCATAAATTGGGCCGTGTGTATCCATGGCTATTATTACCAACCACTGCAGGTGGATTGTGTATACAATATAATGTTGTCTCATAAGAGGTTGTTTTGCAGTGGTTTAAGTGCTATTTTATAGGATTCTGTACCAGCATCAGAATCATGTAATTCAAGTTCTGTTAAGATTCAGTATTAGAGAATTCTTTGCTGAAATGTCCCCTTTTTTATTTTTGACTTCAGCTGGGACATAGGGGAGTGGTCTGAGTGCAGCAAAACCTGTGGCCTGGGGATGCAGCACCGCCAGATCCTGTGCCGGCAGATCTACGCCAACCGCACCCTGACGGTGCAGCAGTACCGCTGCCACCACCTGGAGAAACCTGAGACCACCAGCACCTGCCAGCTCAAGATCTGCAGTGAATGGCAGATCAGGACAGAGTGGACCTCAGTAAGTGTCATTGACTCATTCAGGGCGTAAAACCTCAGAAAAGAATAAGAGTTTTCTTCCAGGTATCACCAATCAAACATGAATTTTGGTCTTGTTTAAAACGGGGAAGTGGAATGTTGAAGGCCTTGGAAATAAGTAAATCTTAGTTCAATAAACCCCTACTTCACTATGACCATTAAAGTTTCCTAACCAGAAAGAAGATGAAAAACACAAACCGTGCAGATGTGTCTGTACAGATGTACACAAGCTGTCTGAGCAATGTTTTTTTTACAAGCTGTGTGAGTAGGAGAGTCCTGAGAGGTTTGCATGAGGTGGCAAACCTGGTGCTCTTTCTCACAGCATGTAGAGCTCAGCTCCAGGAGTTATTTAACATCACATATGTATTTAGGATAAAGGCAGTAGTTGGTGTTACTGTAGTTGGTTTGAAGCCATGCCAGGACTTTCAGATAAACGTGGATGATAGAGTTTTGAGATTTAACTTTTCGGTGTTGCTTACAACAGGTTTGGTCAACCTGACAACCATCCCAATTACTTTTATGGCCATGGTGTGAAAGAGAAAATATCCTGCTGTATTAAGTGAAGTGATACACAAATCTCTCAGTATTCCATGAAACAAAGCAAAAAACTTTCAGAGTTGCTGAATTACCTAGGTAGATAGACTATGAAAAATTCTAGCTTAAACCCTCAGACTAATCCTACTTTTTTCTCTCTCCTGAAGTGCTTCCTACTTCCCCCAGCCTGTGCATCAGGCATCAGATACCCAGAGATATCAGGTATCAGGCAGAGATACCCAGAGCTGTCAATGTTCTCTGAGGCTGGAGAAAAGAAAGCAGGAAGAGAAGGGCTCTGCTTGGAAGTGGGATTCAGGAGTTGTGTTTCTTTGCATTTCTTTTGCTTCGTATCTGCTTATAGGTCAAGATCAAAATGATGCAGAGTATGTCAGCCTGCTACTTAAATATCAGCAGTTCATTTTGATAAGTGCAGTATGACCTGATGAAGATGGGGTTTCATTTTATGTTTTCTGAATGTATCAGCATGATACACTGTAGAATACCACAGACTGAGCATATGATTTAATCTGACTGATGTGCTTTTATTCCCTACTCCGGGCAATCCAGAATAGTTCTGTATCTCCTGCCTTAGCAGGAATGAACGAGCTGGATGTTCCCAGCTCTCTGATAAGCCACTGCTCAGAGTCCTGAGCACCTCCCTTTTGTTACAGTGTTCAGTGCCTTGTGGAGTGGGGCAGAGGACTCGGGATGTGAAGTGTGTCAGCAACCTTGGGGACGTTGTTGATGACGAGGAGTGTAACATGAAGCTGCGGCCAAACGACATCGAGAACTGTGACATGGGCCCCTGTGCCAAGAGCTGGTTCCTCACAGACTGGAGTGACAGGGTAAGGCTTCTCATCAGCTTGTGCTGCCTAAAACTTAGGGGCATCAGAATTAAAGGATGTATATCTGTACAGCCATAAAAGGAGTAATTTTATTTTCCATATTTATTCTTGATCTGTTGAACAGGCAAAGCAAACAAAAACATAATGATCCCAAGGGCATCTCGAGTTTGTGTTAAGATACAAGAATGCACAGAAAGGGCATGTGGGTATATGGCCAAACATCTGGATTTAGAATTGGCTCTGAGTCCGAACTTCCCAAAATATTGAGTGTGCTGAGATTTATTATTCTGCCTTGCTTAGCCCTGAGACTCAAGATTCAAACTCCTAAAATTCAAACTCATTCACTGGTTTTTTTAAGGGATGCAGATTTGAGGCCTGATGTCTGGGTTTAAGTTCAAGCCATAAAACAATTATCTTCTAGCTGTGAAAAGAGGGGAACAACTTCCTAAACACAGGCAAGCTTGATTCAGGCTCTTGTGCTTTGTGAACATGGGGGGTTCTTTATTCCCGTGAGTCTCTGCATGAAAGCAACAAAACCTGTGGTAATTTGTGTTGTGACTGGGCTCAGAGTTGTTGTTCAGTGGTGATATTTGTGTGCTGTCATTAACAGGCTTTACCAACATGGCTAAGAAAAACCAGGTATTTTGGTCTCTCTGGTGGGTGCTTGTCTGTCCATTTCATCTGGAGACAAGTTGAGCCTTCAGTCTGTAAACTCCTGGTTGCATCTCCCTTTTTTTTGACAGACAAATATTGTAATTTCTCACTGAAGCTGTAAGATTCCATCCATAACTTAAAGATTCCATGGTTTAGATGGTTTCGTGGCAGTACCTCTGAAAGCTGGGAATGTCGGGAATGTTGGGCTTGTGGGCTGAGCATTGGTTTGGGTGCTCAGAAGATTTTGCACGTGGTTTAGATGCAGAGATGGAACGGGAACTTCACAAGTAGAACAGGTAGCTGATAATTAAATCACATAATTAAAAAGGCTGATAGACTCTTGTTACAATTAAAGGCCTGCAAAATTTTCAGCCTCTAGACAACTCAAATAGATTTTATAAAGAAAACAAAAATATAGACTAATAAATCTGTGCTGTTGTCACTTTTTTTCCAGTCTACACTCTGGCATAGTATGGACAGAAAGTTACCAGGTGAAGTGTAGGTGTATTGGTGCAAAGGGCAAAGATTTTGCTGTAGGGGAAATGGCAGTGCCATTTTTTTTTGGTGATATTTTACAAGTAAGAAAGAAAAATGCATTCTACCTCAAAGACATCTTTCTTGAAAAAGCTGGCCCAGCTGCTATCAGCTGCTGGTTCCACCACACAAAGCACAGTCATTCCAGTGAAGGTTCTAGCACCATTTTCTTCATTTTTCTACACTAATATTCTGCCTTCTGCAGAATTAGAAGCAGCTTTTGACCTGAAGGTCATAACTGTAGAATGTTATTATGCTTATTTATATGTGTTGAATAGAAGTGAAGCAGGTAATGTGGAAAATGTTGGAGTTTTTTTTCTTACCACAAACATTTTAGGGCCAGAGAGCAAAGAATGGATTTTGTTACCTTCTCAGTTTATATAAGTGTACAGATTCATTTCTTCCAAATGCTTGCTACTGTAGTTGGCATTGTTCACCACCACTTCTGCCAGCAGTGGGTTTGGATTCACAAAGAGGATGTAAGGAACAGCTTATTTCAGGAAAAAAAAGTAGATTTGAGCTGGGATATGCAGGATCTTCTAAGATTCACACGTGCCTCATAACTGGGGTGTTCAGAGGTGCCCATGGCAGTGATTCCAGTGGGAGTCAGTGGAATAAAGGAGGAGTCAGTAGCTTTGCAAAGTCAGGCCTTTGGCATTAGCTTTCTTATTTTGCCACGAAAGGACTGTTTTTTAGGGTCAGAAGTCTCTCTTCCTTTGTAGAGGAATGTGTTCCTATTGAAAGACAAGAGGAGAATCCTGTCATGGAATGGAAATGGGCATTCCCAGGTGTATGGACTTCGCGTGTGTAATTTCCCCAAACAATTCTTTCAAAAGTACTTTAAGCCAAGCCACACTCCAGCAATAAGCACAGATCAGCGATGGGCAGCCACAAATGGTTCAGATAAGCAGCCAAAAGTTCAAATGCTTTAAAAAAGCTTGTTCAAACCTCTTGAGTCTGCAAAACTGTGGTGGAAATCTCACAAGAACAGACCTTCTTTGTGAGATTTATTACATGCCTACTTCAAGTCCCAGCTGGAAATACCACAGAACAGTCTTTCCCATTGTATTTCGACATTTCAACCGTGGCTGGAAATAAGAGGTAAAAGAACTTATCCTAACTTTTGAGAACTTTGGAACTTTGAAATGATTGAGTTCAAACTTGGTTACAGCCCTAAGAGGAGGCCTGGTCTACTTTCCTGAACCCACTTTGCAAACACTTCACGTGTACAGTTGCACATGCAGCAAGCAGAGATTTCCAGAAGGCTGTCAGAGATCAGTTAAACATGTACTTTCTCTTTCAGCAAGGGATATATCAAACCTCCGTGTCCAGATTTATGTGATGCGTGGGGCATTACAATATAGCCTTGGTTAATTAGTGAAACATCAAGAAAAATCACAGTAACATAAAAATTACAGTTGTCTTTGCTGCCAACAGATGTTACATTTCAGGATTTGATAACTGTGGTTCATATTTGTGCAGAATTTGACAAGGGTATTCTTTAACACTGTTTTAAAAATAGAGCGGGATCTAATTTAGGGATGCTGGAAAGACTTTGCAAGGTTTCAGTAAAATAAGAAAACCCAAAGTTTTAATTGATGAACAAAATCATGCTAGTTACCTTTATTTTCATTGATAGTTTCTGTGGTTCTGAATTGGAAGATTATGTCATTAAATTTCCCTAAATGTAACTTTGGCAATATAACCTAAGTGCACTTAAAACCCTGCAGAGCACATACAAATTTGTGTGTAAGAGTTGTGTTTCCTTCCCAGGGTGGTCTGTTTGTGGCTTTGCTCTGTAAATAACACTTGGCTGCCTTCTTGCCATGTTCTCCACTCCTGTTTTCCCACAATGTATTTACGTATTTTATGGCCACCTGTTTCCCCCCATGGCATCGACCTTCTTGGATTCAGTTTCTGCACACACTGATTCTTTATATATGTAATTAAAAACCCCTCCATGTTCCTGAAACAATACAGTTCTTGATCTGTGCTGTTTTGACAAACAGGTATCAAAGTCCATTGTGTGTGTGTTACACACACACTCTTACCTGCAAAGCTTATGACATGTGTGGCCACAATGGTGAAACATGTAAAGGAAGGAGGGAAAACAATTCGTCCTTAGGAAACAAACACTTCTTTTCTGAAAAGTATCTACTCTGTCATTTGTTTGTGACCATGTGTGGATATCCCCCAGGCTCAATCTTGAGAGAAATAGACATTTTTACCCATTTCAATCGGAAAGATTGCAAGTTAAAAGTCTGTAGTAGTAAAGTGAGACCAATCTTATTTGTCTGTGCCCATCTTTACATTTATTGCTCTACCTTGAGTATAAATAAGAGAATTAACTTGAGTTTCGTGGCTTTGACTTCTACATGATCTTTAACCTCTTTTGCCTGTAGAGAGTCTGGACAAACTTTTGTGATATTTTTATGTGCATTTTTAGAAAGATGGCTTCCTGTCTGCTAATTCTCTAAAGATGTCACACTGCATTAAAACAGCACAGCTCCACCAACCAGCATCCATTAATCAGTAGAGTAAATCTGGTGAACCTTACTGAACTCAGCAACAGAATGGGATTGATGGGAGCAGATGAGATTCTTGCAAACATTTCACATGACTGATCCTTTGACAGCTCTAATTGCTGGAAAGTTTACTTCTCCTGTGGGTCAGAAGTGGGAAACTGCATTCTCCTGATTTACAGCAATGGGAGGCTCACCAGTGTTTCCTTGCAGCTTCCAACTGGAGCATTCCCCTCTCGCGTTTTTGTTTATTCCTCATTGCCATCTCCTCTGTTCATTTGTTTCTCGTTTTATGTTTACAGCCTACTTAGAAAAGAAGCCAAAATACAAACAGTTCTTAGATGTTAATGAGATTCTGCGGCCAAAATAAAACCTTGGGAAGAAAGAAAAAATGCTGCACATCAGGGAACATAATCAAAACAAACCAAACACATGCTCTGGATTTCACTCTTCATTAAAAGGAGTAATGGCAATGCTTCTGTAATAATCTGCCATAAGAGAACTGTAGTGAAAAGAGAACTTCATAAAAATCAGTGCTTTATTCCTCACAATTCTAAAACATTGCCTAACATGTTCGAGCGGGTTTGCTGAAGAGTCAGATGAGGAACCACCAATGAATACTGTAGCTTACACTCTTCTTTCACTATTTTTCCTGGGGGAAAAAAAAGAAAAAAAAACAGGGGAAAAAATTACCATGGAGCTTGTGCAAGAGTTCATTATTTTTTATTACCACTGTTTATTTGTTTTCAGTATAAAATCAAAACAAGATAAAATAGCCCTTTTCATTGATTTCATGTGGAAGTCATATGGAAATAGAAGGTTTGCATTCTTTATGTATGAATATGTAACACACTTCATAACGTGCAATGAAACGCAGCCGGGAGAGTTGTGATAGAAGGGGGGGCCAAGACCTGCAGAGATTTGTGTTTCCTTCTCTAGAGCTGATCTCTCTGTGCCACAGTTCAGCTGCTGCACATGAAGATCAGCAGATCAAACCTGCAGGGCAGGAGGAGCCTTCCCTGTGTCCCCGGGAGGTTGGCAGGAGGGGGGAGGTTGGCAGGACAGGGGAGGTTGGCAGGACGGGCTCACGAGTGGCAGGCAGGGCCAAACCAGGGGCCGGGTTACCAGGCAGCACCACAGGGATGAGGCAGGGCCAAGGCAAAGCTGGAAGTCAGTGCAGTGACAGTCACTGGGATCACACAGCCCAGGGATCCTGGGGCAGGTCTGTGGGAATGGGGCAGCGCCAGGGTCGAGCTGGGAAGTGAGTCCAAGGGTGAGGGATCACTGAAACCCAGGCTGTGGCTGGGAAAAGGCACATCTCTGAGGATGGACCAGAGCTGAGGTTGACTGGAGACCCTGGGCCATGAGCAGGGTGTGGGTGGAGGCCCCAGGAGAGGCTGCTCTGAGCCATGAGACATCTTGGTGCACTCAAGCCCTGAGAAGTCCTTACAGCTCTCAAGGCAAGTAATATTTATTATATGAGCCAGAGTAGTGAGGAAGTCTGTTCTGTTCCCTCACCTTAACTACTCCTGAGAGCATCAGTATTGTGTAAGTACCAATGGTGTAACCTACTGCATATAAAGAAAGTAACTGTGTGTGTAAAAGCAATCATGATCCAGCTGAAAGACTAAGACTGTATTTCAAAATGTTTGTTCCCTTGGAAGGCTGCCATGGAAGTGCGAGACCGATCCAGCACCTACTGTGTGCATGGATGCACTCACAGGGGAACAGTTTAAACCTCGGTATCAGAAAATGCTTTGGCAATACATGAGGATATTTCTTGCTACAGCACACCCCTTTCTTTTTCATTTTTTAAGAAATCAAGGCAGCTCTCAGTGGTTTTACATCCTTTGAAAATCTGCCCCAGTCTTGGAACTGTGGCAGAAGTGAGCTTCTGAAACGCAAGTCTGAGTTTATTATTGGGAAAACAAAGGTTACATAATCTCTCCAAAATCCCTTCTGAAATGTATTTTCTCAGAGTAGGTCAAATAATGCTAAGGAGTTTCATAAATGTATTGGAAACGTAGATCTTCGTTTTTATATTTTGCAGCAGTGTAGCATCAGGAGGATGACTGGTAAAAATCTTTACTGTCTTGTGGGAAATAATTAAGATGGTGAAGGTTAAAGTGTGGTACACAGAAATCTTACACAAATGGGAATGTTTTACTCAATCTCAATTGGTTGTTATTTAAAAATTTAATTAATGCCAGCAGTGATGCTGAGACCTGAGTGAAAGGGCTCTCGAGGTCCAGGAGAATTCTTGCTGCCACTCTCCCGAGATCTGTTGCCCCATTTGAGGGTAATGAGTAGGGCTGGCACCTTGGTGACGGGCAGCTGGCACTGTTTAAGGGGATTTTTTTGCTATACCCATGTCTTGTAGCTCTGACAAAAATGCAGGCTTCCACTTGCAGTTTTCCAAGTTTGAAGGAACTAGCCTTATTTTCCTGGACTGCTGTTCAGTTGTTTTCTGACAACTATCAGAGCCCTGAATGAGGAGGTTTTATTTTTAGGTTTTTAATGGGTATGGAAAGCTTCTGAAATTGAACTCATGAGGGAAGGACCTCAGGAAGAGGAAAAATGGCAGACTCCTTAAAACACAGACAGAGGGTTCTGAGGAATTTGTGCCAATTAAAACAAGACCGTGAAACAAAATATCTTTAATAATAGGACCAGAATAAAGTTGCAGCTTGTGAAAGTTCCTCATGTTTCACAACGTTAGGTTATGGCAGTTGCTATGTATTAATGCAACAAATCAATGGCACCAAATTGAAAGTAGTGGGTGTGTCAGTTGTGAAAACCAAAGGGAGGATTCGTTATTCAAACTCTCCCTACTCCCTGCCTTGCACTTTGGAAATCCATGGCTTTCACATAGAAGATTTTTACTGAAAAGAAGAAAAAAAAACATAAAAAACAAATACATAACATGAAACACTCAGGTTGAAGTTTGCTTTGTAAATTTTTAGAAGGTAGTTAATCTGTAGTAAAATATTGCAGCAGAGGGTAGGACAACCCTATACCTTCCCATTTGGTATTTCCTTTGTTATTTGATATGTAAGCCTAGTTCATACATAATCACTTAAAAGGTAAGACTGTGGAGGTTTTCTGGATGACTTTATAGGCTAAACTTGTTCCCAGCTCTGCTTTGCAAAGCAGAAAAGCAAATTAGGTTGTCAAATGAAAACTAGTTAGAAATAAGAAAAGTATTTACAGAGTATATGTCTAGTTCTCTGTGCTTAATGTAATGGAATATATTTGCCAGGGATGAAGGCTGAGCAGCCACAAGATGTGTTTCTGCACAGTGTTTTGAGTGGTGGCCGTCGTGGGGCTCAGCAAAGCCACGTTACCTGAGAGGGGACTGTTTGGAATGGGTGTAGTTCAGTCTCAGTTTATATAAAGAGGGAAGTCATCACTACTGGCACATTTACATCACTCTTGTGTTTTCAAGATTTTGCCACTTTACTTTGAAAAGGCCTCCTTAGCCATGAATTTTGGTTTGCTGAGGAGGTAGGTCTGTTTTACATATCTGGGTGAAAAGTGGAATATTTTCACAGAATCACCAATAAAAAAGGTTCATTATGTTACTTACAGGCATCATTTAGGCAAAGCTTAATTACTTGATCTTGCAGATGGAGGAAGAATCTTGAATTTCAAGGTTCTTGAAAACTGAACTTTGTTTGTTAAAAAATTTGCTTTAAAGAGTTGAATCACTTCTTTAGTTTTGTAGGCATTCCACTTCAGTAAAACTTTGCTATCCTGTTTGAACATTTTGTGAAAGGAATCAACTTGCTGATAGGAAAAACATTTTTCTGTTCTGTATTTGTGAAATAAATGTAACATGACTGCATGTTTCACACAGGTCAGCCAGTGTTGCTCAGTGAGTAAGGAGCAGTTTACAGCCAATTGTCCTTTCAGTCACTGGTCCCTCTTGAGAAGATGAGTGACTGTATCTGTTCCCTCGTTATTAACAGTGGTGCTGTCATGGCATCTGCTGTCCTGGAGTTGAGCTCCTGGAAGTGAACCCTGACACTATTACCAGTGGCAGCCAAATCAAGCTGTGGTCAACTTTGTGTCTGATTACCAGCTTTTTTAATCATTCTTATTTAATAAAGTTTAAAAAGCGCTCCAGTGCAGAGTTCTATTCATCCACAAGGAATGTGGTGTTCATTGTGGAAGTAATACGCAGTTTCTCCTGATTTCATGGTATGTTAAACATAAAATCTGAAATAGCAATCAAATGCATCCTTTTCTCCCACAGATTGCATATTTACTCATGGTTTTCTTTGCATGTCTGTTATAAGTGCTGTGTTTAAATTCTATGTAATTAGATTATATACATATCTTTCAGTGAGCTGCACATAGGTTTTTCTTTATATTAATGGTCTAGACATGAAAGGAAAGAGTAAGAAAGAATTAAGCAACAAAAGAACAGTCTAACACAGGAATTTCTTACTTCCTTGGCATATTTCTGTTTTTTAAATGTCAGTAGTTTGATGCCTCCTAGAACAGTGGAATATCAGAGATTTCCTGCTGCAGTAGATAAAAGAGCAAACTCTAAGGGCAAAACCGGAATTTATCCTGTATGATTTATGGATGACATGCATACAGTCTCTGAATATGTGACATAAGACTCTGCATATCACTATTTAGTAAAAGCTTTCAGAATTTAGCAGTGAAACTTTGAGAAAGGTAAATGTTAGTTACTGGAAAGTCATAGCATTAAAAAGCAAGATTGAATGTACCTAAAATTCTATGGCCACCTCTTCTAAGACTAATTAACAATTTACAATTGAAACAGGTTAGACAAAAACTACTGGTAGTTAACAGTTAATTGCTGAGGATTTACCTGAGTCTTTTGAAACCACCTGTCAAAAAAATTTATGTTTTTCTACTCTATTGTACTGTCATATTTTGTCAACTTGGGGAACATCCAGGATGTGCTATACAGTCATTTTACTCCCAGTGCCACAGCCCTCAGAGTCTTCTTTGCCCTTTCAAGCAGTGTGAGATCCACCTGGCTGACAGCTTGAAGTGGTCAGAGGAGAAACTCAGAGAACAAATCAAAGGCTGAAATAGGACTGCTGTCTGAAAAACCCTTTATGAAAATTACCTGTTCTCAGAGCTATCAATTGAGATGCAAAAAGATTAATAAAATGAAAACTGAAAGAATTCACAGGCAGAAAGAAGGAAGGAAAAATAAGAAAGCTATTACAAAGCTGTAAAACAAGAGATTTCTTTCTGAACTGATCCTTTCATTTTTGACTGTGAAGACAGGTACTGCTTGTGTTTCCAAAAGCATGGAACCGTGAGACGATTTCCTACAGCTGAATGACAAGTCAAAATAAGTGACTTTGCATAACCTAATGTACTTTCGTGCCTGTTGCTCCTCGTGCTGCTGTGCAGTGTGGAGGGCAGGGCAGTGACTGTGCGGTGTGGAGGGCAGGGCAGTGACTGTGCAGTGTGGAGGGCAGAGCAGTGACTGTGCAGTGTGGAGGGCAGAGCAGTGACTGTGCAGTGTGGAGGGCAGGGCAGTGACTGTGCAGTGTGGAGGGCAGGGCAGTGACCTGCTGTGTGTTTCCCGCAGTGCTCGGCCGAGTGCGGGGCCGGGATCCGCACGCGCTCCGTGCTCTGCATGACCAACCACGTCAGCAGTTTGCCTCTGGAAGGCTGTGGCAACAACAGACCCTCGGAAACGACCCCCTGTAATAATGGACCCTGTGCTGGGAAAGTGGAGTGGTTTGCTGGGGGCTGGACACAGGTAAGCCAAGTGCTGCATCTGACATACCTACTGGTTTTCTGCTGGTATTTGAATTTAAAAGTTGTATTTTTGTTCAATAAAGATGTGTGCCATAAGGTATTTCTACATCTCTGTGGAATATTTGGTTATTTTTTCCTGTATTTTGCTGAGTTGATGTTCAATAATTTTCAACACCTGCTGTTTTTATTTTGATGAAAATAAGATTTTGTTCTTCTCTTCTCTGTACATTTTTTTTTTATTTTTCACCTCCTGACCCAGTGTATTTATAAAATGGAAGGTAACAGAATGCTGCTTAGCATATTCAGGTGAACACTAAAGCAACAGATTTGCATCTTTTAAAGTAGAGCCTTTGTGATCATGCATGCATGCAGGGAGATATATACATATATATATATATGTATATGGGATTTCCAAGGTAAATAAGACAAAAACCAATGGTTAACCCCAAAAGTTATCTTCAGTACTGTTGTACCTCTGTTAGAACGGGCAAAAGAACCAGATTTGGTTAGTGGCCTGTATCCTGATGCTCTTTCCTCAAGGTAAATTCTTCCCTTTATCCCCATCTCAGTAGCCCTTCAGGAGCTGTCACCTTGTGCCCGGGCATCTCTGCCCCTTTGTGAGGGCTCTGGCACAGCCTGTAGAGCTCTTGAGACTGCTGGTGCCAGCCCTGGCTGGAGCTGGGCTGGTAACTCACTGCCCTGCAGATTCTGAGACCCTTCCAGCTGATAAGGAGCTGGAAATTAAACTGGTACAGCTGAGGTGGAGATTACAGGGCTACTGCTATGCTAATGCTTCTGAGTGTAAGTGATAATTGTTTCTATTGTATGAGAATAACAAAATCACATTTCAAAAATACCAATCTGCAGTTCTAATGGCAGATGAAATCAAGGCTTGTTACTTAGACCTCCCCAGCAGATGGAATGGGAGCTCTGGATCCATTTCTGCTGCCCCAGGAGAGGTGTTCAGTAAAGGCATCCAAACCTCCCTGGTCTTTTAGGCTAATTCACCTTCTTCCTTTGCATGAGATTGAATTGTTCGGTGCACACCAAAGGTACAGAGTCTTTGCTGTGTGTCATCTGAAAGCAGTGTCTGACAGCATCAAATCCTGGCTTCTAAATACCCAAATGAAGAGTCAGCAGAGCAGAGCAGGAGGGAGCACTGCTGCTCTGCTGGAGCTGAGGCTGGGTGTTCACACACTGTCTTCTGGTGTTAAACAAAGTGCAGTTACTGTACTTCTGCATTTATTTGGGTGCATTTATCTTAAGGTTCTTTGTTCAGCTCAAGGTTTTTGTGGGAACCTGGTAAAGGGATTGTAAATTCTACTCAAAATATAAATAAAATCCCCACTGCTGCTAACATATGATTGGTTTAGGCTAGAAAAAGCCTTCTGAAAATCCTAGTCCTTTCTGCAACACAGAAACCCGTATGTTGCTGGAATCATCTTCTAAAAGCCTTTTTACAAGTGCCAGGAACAGTACTGTGTGTGTACCTAACCTTTAAGTGGACAGTAAGAATCCAAGTGAGTCAAATTTGCTTTTCAGAACTGGAACCAACACTACATCACATAGATACTTGCAAACATGAAAATAACACCCTGGCAGATCAAGGCACTTTAAGAATAACACAGAATGTGGAGCTTTGTAAAGCTCCAAAACTGTGCTCTAACCTTATAACCCTCAAAAGTTCAGTGCAGTACATACAATCCTCCTTCAGCGAGAAGCAGTTTATGGAGAAAGTGAGTTATGCTTCTCTTTTGATTAGAAAAATAAATACCAGTTTCTTTTTTGTAGCTACAGGTGAAACGACACTTTCAGATTTCTCCAAAAATATACTTAGAGTCCTACGTCTTATTCAATAAAATAACTAGAAATATGTTTTGAGTCTGTGGTACCACATGGAATAAAAATTCACAGAAGTATCTTTTTAATTTCTGTAGCCATTTTTAAGATTTAAAATGAAAAAACATTTTTATAAAATTAAATATGTAATACCTGACACAGTCAGTAGTCACTTGATGAATTAAATCATTACTATATCCTTCAGCTTTTTCTTGTACTGGTACTTAACTGAGACCAGTGGCTGCTTTGTTAGTACTGCATACAAATAATAATAGTAACCCAAGGTTTATCCAGGCTGCTATTCTGATTCTGAGAGATAAAAATCTTACTGCAGAATCTTAAGGAATACTTTGCCCTTTCCTTTCTCTTCAAGTCATATGCCAGTGATGGAAGGAAAGATATAGTTAAGCTCATTTTTTCTGAGAAAAAAACATATGAAAGTGAGGAAATAGATTTTGGATGTTAGTGTCTAGATAGGTGTCCAGATCTTTCTGTTTGAATATTAACTTAAAATGCCAGTATATATGTGTGTAAGGGTGTGTGTTCAGGAGTAAACGTGTGGATAAAGATGTTACTTTGTAAGCAAGCTGAAGGACATGAGTAGGATAACAAATTCCCCCCCTTGTTTTTTGTTTTCTGATACAGTGCTCTTCTGAATGTGGCAGTGGAACTCAACAGAGAGAAGTCATTTGTGTTAGGAAAACTGAAGGTAATTTTGATGTTTTGGACCCCTATGAATGTTCCTATTTGGAAAAACCTCCCATCCAGCAATCCTGCTACCTCAAACCGTGTGGATCCAAGTGGTTTCATACAGAGTGGAGCACAGTAAGTCTCTCATGCCTTCCTCTATCTCTATTTTGTTTGATACAGCTTTTTCCATTCATATCTAAAGAGAGCACCATTTGCATAAAGCCACTGATCATGACATTGACTTTATTTTGCACAGGAATGACACTAAAAAGAAAGTAAACCTTTTATCCAGTGGAGCTTAGGAAAGTTAGGAAATATCTTGACCAGAAGGAGACGCTGCATAGTTGTCTTTCCATCACTCATCTCTTCTTCGAAGAAACTTCCTGTTTTGTAAAGTTGGTTTGCCCCTTATAATGAGACAATGTGTACTGAGAAGTTCCTTTCAGATCTCTGATTTCATTAAAATTAAGGAGCATTTAATAAAGAATGAGGGATGTATTTGGTTTTTAAAGTCAGTTTTGCCATAATATTTTACTGTAAATTCTTCACTGTAATGCTTAGAACTTTATTGAGAGAAAATGTAGAACTCAATGTATCTTCAGTCTCCCCTGAAAGTGGACCAGCTGCACTGACCAGTGTGCCACAAAATGCTTTGGTTTCATGTGTCTTTCCATCATTTCCTATACCCAATAAAGCTTATTGGATTTTTACCAGAAAAAAATCAGCATTTTTCCCCTCAGTCAGGGGGATCAAATGGCTGGGTTTGTGTGCAGTCTGTTGGGTGTCTTGGTTCCACTTTAAGTGCTTAAGATCTCTACAAACCTGAACTGAAGCTGTTATTGCTGCATGTGGAATAATTGCAGTATTCTATATAGGCATGTAACAAGAGTAATGCTAGAAAAAAAGGTGTTCTGTTACTGCCCCAGAGCTGCCCTTTCGAAAGGTTGTATTAAAGATGAAAGAGCAGTCTAAGAATATAATACTGAGAACACTTTGGTCAGTTTGCTACAGTGTCTGATTTTATGATCGTGATAAGTTGTTTCTGCAATGTTAGAAAAAGAAATAATTATGCCAAAAAAGTCAGAAAGGAAACATTCTTACTGGTTTGGGGCTGTTAAGGTTTTAATCATTATAAATTACCCAGATGTAATTAAGTTTGTGAGCATTAGGTCAAACTGGACAGTGAACCAAATCTCAAAGACCTCACTCAGACGAAATTCTTGAAGTCAACAAGGAATTTGCTTCAGTATGGGCAGAAATGTGTAATAATTGGCTTTAAAAATACCATGACAAGCAAGTACAAAAGTCTCTGGCTTCATAACAGACTTTGGACATCAAAAGAAAATATTTCTGTGCTCCTTCAAAGAAACCTATAATGCTTCGTAAAATTGTGTTGCAGGAGGTGAAAAATACTTGAGTGCCAGAAAAAAAGGCAATTAAAATTATTCCTGCTTGTATATTATTAAATGGCAAAAGGGCAGTGGAGGGCAGTGCAGTCAAGTAGTAAAGTTCAGTGCAGGGAGTTCTTAAAGTAGGAAATGGGAACAATGTGGAAAGAGTAGATTTGGGAGATGTGTATAAATAAGCAGAGAACAAGAAGGCTAATTAAAGAAAGAAGAAGCTAACTAATAAATTCAGAAAGGGAACTATCCTGGCTCACTGTCAGTTGCAGTGTCCACCACGTTTACTTGTCCAGTTGTTCCTCCTGTGGTCAAAAACGTTTTGGAATCTTTACCAAAATTTCACCTGTATATTATGGGCTTCATAGATAGAAAATAGAAAACTCTAGTGGTGAAGTTGATAAAAGGCTACAGTGATGCCTGGATCTGGCTTCAAAGTTCCCTTTTCTTTTCTTTCTGTATTTACACATCTCATATTGTCTTCATGAACTTCAGCTTAATTGTTTCAGTGTTCCAAATCGTGTGAGGGAGGATTTCGGGTCCGGGAGGTCCGGTGTCTGTCCGATGACATGGCAGCCAGTTCTCAGTGTGACCCACAGCTGAAACCCGAGGAGAAAGAGCCCTGTAACACACAGGATTGTGTCCCTGAAATAGGTAAGGAAGAGGAAGCTTCTGCTTTAACTATGGATCTCCACCTAGTGGAGAAAATATTTAGTAGTCTTGAAGAGGTTTTAACAGTGTATTTTCTTTATCGAGTTCAGAGTTTTATTTTTACACAAAATACAGCTCTTTTCTGTGTTGTAAAAGTAGGTTTTCGTTTCTGATTTAAAATGTTTTCCTAGTAATGTGTAAGAAACAGGCTTACATTTGAAGTTGCTGAGAATATGAGAGATCTGCTTCTGTGAAAATGGTACATAAAGGTTGTTTTTCTGCTGTCTCCTTGCATTCTCCAAGGTTTCTCTTGGCAGAGTCTTAAAAAAAAAAAAGAGGATCACATATGATATATATTTGGTAACAAGTTCTATAAGAACCAACAACATTAAACTAAGACATTAAGTGCAATTAAGCAGTTTTCTTGTATATATATATATTAAATATACACATACAGACAATTTGGTTTTGGAATTAGTCATTCAGCTCCTACAGATTTGATTTTAATAGCAATGAGAATGGCAAAGGCAAGAAAGATACATAATTTAGGAACAGTTTTGTTCTACAACAAGTTTCAGTTGAGAATTATTCAATATACTTTAAGATAACTACATCAAAAAGCCAGAGGAACTGGGCATGGGTACATTTCTTCCATGGTTTATTTATTTTTCTATTATAATGTATAAAATCTTGAATAATCTGACTTATTTGCATAGGTAGCTTATTTTGACCTGAGAACGAATGTTTAAATACAGATCCAAGGGATTTTACGTGGTAAAAAGAAAGGAGATTGCTTATTTGTTGCTCCATTCCTTCTTTCTTCAGTTCCTTGTCTCTTCCTTTCCCTCCACAGATGAGAACTGCAAAGATAAATACTACAACTGCAACGTGGTGGTTCAGGCCAGGCTCTGTGTCTACACCTACTACAAAACAGCCTGTTGTGCATCCTGTACCCGTGTGGCAAACAGACAGTCGGGGTTCCTGGGCCGGAGATAACAAACACTCTGCTCAAAGCAGCCATGGCAGGCTGCACGTGGAGCTGGAACAGTGTTACTGCTCTGACTGCAGCAGTTTTAGCTTCTTAGAGATGGGGGTTTGTGTTGCTGAGTGCATCAAGACTATGGTTAAATCTCACACCCTTTCAGTTATTGTGCAGTTATCTCTTTTGTTTGTTGTAAAACCATGATCTTTTTAAAGCATTAGTTGCTAATGATACTATTATTTGCACCTGCTCATCAGATAATTTATTTAAGGAACATACCAGCCTTAATATTGTGAAATTAATGAAAACTGAATCAATTGCGGCAATTACTGGAGATAGTTGACCAGTATGGATGCAGCTGCTGCATTACTTTCTGAGTGCTTACTTTTACTTGGTGTTTTGGACTGCCTTAAATTAGATGACTAAATCAATGAAGCATGCACATGAGAAAAATTATTTCCCAAAGAACCAGACCCTTGAAGACCCATTTGTCAGCAGTTTCTTAGCACTCTAACATATGTTTTTAATTACTTCAGTCCATTCATAATTAGAGTCACTGTTAAGCTCTCTCAGTTGTACTTTTGACTAATGTCCTGTCCTCAGGCAGTAAATATATACACACTTGACTGCCAAAAAGTGCCTTTATATTTAATTCATAAACTCTTGAAGATACACTTTTCTAAGTTTATATGGATTTTAAAATAATTACCTACCAGAGTGACACTAATGTCTAGCCCTTCAAGTCTTTAACAACTCCATCTGTCAGCGAGACCCATTCAGCAGAGAGGTGAAGAGCCTTTGCTGATGTAAAAAGTGATTGTTTCCCTGGGCGAGGTCTCTTCCCTGTAGGACAGTTATTTCAGTGAACTGGGATCTTGCCTGATCCTTTGTCTCTGCACTATTGCTGAACAACTACCATACCAAAGTACTTTGTCCAGACCTAGTCTGGATGTGTCACCAGTTTCTGAAACAACCACCAAAGGATACAGGCCTGTGTGCTTTATAGTCGTGTGTTCCTCGTGGTGTCAGGCAGCAGTGTGAGTGTAGCACCTGAGTATCTGTCAAGAGATCTTGGCTATTGACATTCTTCAGGTTTTGATCGGTTGTTACAACATATTTGCCTTTTTTCACTTAATGTTTCATCACACAGATCTATTTATACCACTCCTTTTCTGTTACTCAAGAATGGCTGCAGACTTAGAGCTGAATTTAAGTGGTGATTTTTCATTTCTGCAATTACTGTGCTCAGCCTTGGGACTTGCTAAAAGCAAATGGGGTGTGCTGTGTAGGGCAGATCAGTTTTTGCATTATCTGCATGTTCTCTAGCCTTTGCTTGAGAGGTCTTTCAAATGTGTAAATAAGGCTGAAGGAAAAAAATGAACACCACTGCTTATTCAGCTGTTTATTACAGCATATTTTTTGTAAATTAGTGATGCTCAACTATGCATCTCTTTCTAAGGTGCCTGATGTCTGAGTTGAAAACAGCTGTGACAATCATGTTCAGTCACTCCCAGAGATGTAATATAACAGTGGTTAAGGTGTCTGCTACTGATGCAGAACCGTGTTTGAGCTTCACTGTGTGTTCTTTTCTTCTTACTGCTTTGGTGGAGAGGATGTGCAAAGGGAATGGAGCTCTGGGAGGCAAAGGTTGCTGGGTGTGGTACTGGACACGCCAGGTTTTGTGCTGGAAGCCACAGGAAGGTGGAATTCCTGTAGTCTAAAAGCTGCCTTGAATTGAGACAAACCTTTGAATTTTTTATTCGGTCACTCATGAAAAGTATATTTTTAGACATGATGAACTACCACTGTTTGGCTAAAGGAAATTAAAAGAAAAAGTGTTTCCCCTAGAATTTGAAGTTAGTCTTTGTGACTATAAACCAATCATGTCTTTGACTCTTTCTGTACACCTTAGCTTAGGCTTTTTTACTGTAAATAATTTATATAAAATTGTTAGAAACAGAAATGCTAATTAGAAAACTTCTGAGTTCATGAATCTTTTACAGTCCTGTTCCCTTGTATTATGAAGATTTATCCATGAAGATAACTTATAGATTTGTGATGATATTATATTCCTTAGATTCTCGACCAAAGAATGTTATGGAGACAGTGCAGTGTAAACAACTCTGGAATCCACTATTTCTTAATACAGATTTTCATCTGTGTATCTCATTGCAGCAAATTTTGACATAGATTGTTTAATTTTTGTTATTATCTCTTTTGTCCCAAGGAAGTGTATCCTGTCAGCTCGAGGGAAATACCTGTTCCATAAAAAGGCTTCCTGAAAACCCCAAGGCAGAGGAGATGCAGGGAGCTAATCAGGTTTGCAGTCAGTTCATGGAACATTATCTTGCACACACTTCTGGCTGTGTGTGACTCAGCACACAGACATGAGATCCTCCTATTTTATAAATTATTTTGCGCTGGAATATATGGCCATGAGGTTATTTGACAAAGATGATCATCTTGTAGGCTCTATTAAGCTGCCACTAAAGTAAAGAGAGTTCTTGGCAGCTAAATATCAAAGAATATATACTTACACATAGCAGTGTAACCCTGTAACACACCTAATATGTACAGCTTTGTGAATTAAATGCAGTGAGCTATGATTATACAAATTGTACATTTTTTGATTTTTAAGTAAAGAGACAGTTTTCAGATGTATCAGATACAACAAAAAATACCATTTCACCTAATTAAACATCTAATGGTAAGAAAACTGCCAGAATGCTGCTGAACTTAATCATTTATCATCTCCTGTGTCAGCATTATCAAAATAGTTGTTCCTGCAAAATGAACTAATAAGCCCTTTTTATCAGCACTTTGATATACTAATATTGTCTGCACAGAGTAAGTGCTGTGCTAAGATTCCACCATCTTGCAAAGCACACTTTGGAATTGTGCCTGTAGCAAGTGTTTGTTTTAATGGAGCAGTGCCATTAGGCACTTAGGATGATGCCTGCAGAAGGACCTGATTTTACTTTTGCTCTAAGTCAAAGGTGGCTTTAATGAATGTAGTAGACTTAGAGCAGATATAAACCCAATGGAAGTAGGAAATAATGCAGACTTCTGATTTTAAATGCTTGTTTTTCTGACATTTTAACATCAGTCAAAATCTTGCAGAATGATGTAAAAAAATCTGCTTCCTTGCCTTGAAGCTTTTCACCTTACACAATGAAGGAAGCCCAGAGTGAGTTAGATGGCTTATTTAAAGAGTCTAAGCAGTGCAGCTGCATAGAGCTTTCATGGTTTACAGACGTGCAGCTGGCCAAAATCAGCCCCATCCAGAGAAGGCTGTGTGTCTCAAAGCACTTTCCCTTTGGAATTGAGGGTTCCTGTGCAGTTGTTTATCAGGTTATCCAGGGCCCATCAGGGTTTGCCAGCTCCTGTAAAATGTCTCCTTCAAGCATATGTAGGTAGAATTCCTTGTGTACTGCAGTTACATGCCAAGTTTGGGAGCACTGAATTCATGGAGTTCTCCCTTCCTCTCCCAGAAGATGGTGTGGAAGCATGAGGGTTGCTCCTGTGGGAATGGCCAGCAAAGAGACAGAGTTAGTGTTTGCTTTGGTGGCTCTGACCTTCAGTCCCCGGGGCTCTGAATCAGGGAAGGGCTTGTTGGGAGGCAGAGGAGAGCTGGGGAGTGCAGTGCAGGAGACATGGGGGATCCTGCAGGCCTGCCAGCCTTGGAGTCCAGCTGTAATGTATGGCCATGGGCTGGATGCAGGGCTGCTTCAGCATCCTGCACAGGGAACTGGCGTGTTTCTCATCACACTTATAATCTTTTTCTTTTTTTTTCTCAATACTTCAGCAAAAGGAGAACTTTCCATATGAATAAAGCAGTGTTTAACATTAATGTTATTGGTTAGATCCCAGTTTTATGACAATATGGTGCAGTTATATATCAGTCACATATATATATATATATGTCATTATAGCCCAGACTCAAAGGAGTACATTAAACTACTTGAACAGAAGACCACGTGGGGCAGCAGCTTTTCAAGGACCTTGCTACTTCTTTGCTTATGTCTGAGTCCTAGAGAGTGCCAGTCACCACTGAGGGAAGAAGGAGGTAGGGGTTCAAACAGCTTATGCCTGGTATAGGGGAGGTTATGTTTTCCTGAAGGAAATACTTTGTTTTCTCTCTTTATAATCTATGCCACTGTAAGTAGTAAAATATACTTTACAGAGCTTTGCTTTTCCCCATTCTCATCCTGACCCGTCTCCCTTTTACACCCAGACCCCCAACTCTTCTCCTCTTCCTCTTATCTCACTTTCATCCCTTTGTCCTCTGAGTTACAGTATTAAATTTTGCCAGAATTACTGAAAACCCTGAGCTGGCCTTTTGATTTGTAAGAATCATTGTTAGAAATTAGCCCAGCTGTTAAGAGAGCTGTATTCCTGGCAGCCCAGGGATTTTTGTGTCTGTGTGCATCCACGTTGGCTAGTTTTTAATGCACAGTAGTAAAGTACATACTGAATTAACCCCCGTGCAATGAACCTGTGACTGCACAGCTATTGAAGTATGTAGTGGCCATTTATTCTCATATGTAACATTTATCACATAAAAAAAAGGATTATCCTCTTCACAAAGGAAAAGCTGTGTGTTTACTTGGTCTTCTTGAGACTTAGTGGTTTTGACTTCTTAAGAGCTGTTCTGTGTGTTGGGCAGATAATTTATGTGCACGCCTGTAATTCAAACACAAAACATGACATTTTGAACATGAATGTAAACTTCCTTTATGTCTAAACTTACACAATGTTTGTGGGAGATAAATTAGGCATTGCTTAGAAAATGGAGTAAAATAATTATTTCCACACCAGAAATGAAAAATCATCCACTAAGCATTTTCAATATATTTTAAATTAAACTTCTGATCATTGTAATATCTCAGTAGCGTGGGCAAGATTCAGACCTGGTGAAAGGGAGAAAATTCCATTTCAGAGATCTCACAGCAGACCTGAACTCAGCTCTTTGCTTCTCAGCTTTTAACAGCCAGAAGTTCTTAAGAATGAGAGCTCCCAATTTTCTATATCCCCATGTACTAGAATGGGATACAGATAACTACCACCATCCCTGGAGAGGAGGGAAGCTTAATTGTGATAAATCATTGACCTTCCAGCAACAGTCATTGCTGCTTGCCCTGACCTGTTTTTCTATGCTCCCGTTGGGTCTCTTGAGACCAGTGGCCTTGGCAGGGGTTGGGTACATACGAGTTGTGAAGTCCCATAGTAGTCACTCAGGATCCACATAGAAGATCAGGAAGGATGGGAGACAAAAGAAACCCTAACTTTTTTTTATATGTATAAAATTGCCTACTTGACCCTCATAATTGATTTTGGGCAGAAGGATATACTTTATTATAACTTATTTTGTTGTTATTTGTAAATACAAGATGTCTATGGGAAATATGTAATTCTGAGCTGTGTCTATGGAACAAGCCACTGCGCCAAAATATTTCAAATATTTAGAATAGGCAGATTTTTTTATTAAAAGGGACTTAATATGTATTTATTTACATATACCATTCAAATTTTGTCCAGCTTTTTCACTATACTAACCCAGCTTTTTAGGGAATTTTATAGCACAGGTATTACATATATATTTTTTGTATATATGTCATACTGTAAATCCATAATAC